AGTTTCTCCAATCTTCCCAAAACTCTGGATTCTGATAGAGGGCCATGAGACTTAGACCTGAGTGCAAAAATGGAGGCTCTAGCCCCTTCCAGAGCTGAGATATCGAAACTCAAAAATTCGGCCCGAAAAAAAAACGACAGTGGTACCCCTTACGTTTTTTTTTTTGGGCGAAAAATTAAGTTTCTCCAATCTTCCCAAAACTCTGGATTCTGATAGAGGCCATGAGACTTAGACCTGAGTGCAAAAATGGAGGCTCTAGCCCCTTCCAGAGCTGAGATATCGAAACTCAAAAATTCGGCCCAAAAAAAAAACGACAGTGGTACCCCTTACGTTTTTTTTTTGGGCGAAAAATTAAGTTTCTCCAATCTTCCAAAAACTCTGGATTCTGATAGAGGGCCATGAGACTTAGACCTGAGTGCAAAAATGGAGGCTCTAGCCCCTTCCAGAGCTGAGATATCGAAACTCAAAAATTCGGCCCGAAAAAAAAAAACGACAGTGGTACCCCTTACGTTTTTTTTTTTGGGCGAAAAATTAAGTTTCTCCAATCTTCCCAAAACTCTGGATTCTGATAGAGGGCCATGAGACTTAGACCTGAGTGCAAAAATGGAGGCTCTAGCCCCTTCCAGAGCTGAGATATCGAAACTCAAAAATTCGGCCCGAAAAAAAAAACGACAGTGGTACCCCTTACATTTTTTTTTTGGGCGAAAAATTAAGTTTCTCCAATCTTCCCAAAACTCTGGATTCTGATAGAGGGCCATGAGACTTAGACCTGAGTGCAAAAATGGAGGCTCTAGCCCCTTCCAGAGCTGAGATATCGAAACTCAAAAATTCGGCCCGAAAAAAAAACGACAGTGGTACCCCTTACGTTTTTTTTTTTGGGGCGAAAAATTAAGTTTCTCCAATCTTCCCAAAACTCTGGATTCTGATAGAGGGCCATGAGACTTAGACCTGAGTGCAAAAATGGAGGCTCTAGCCCCTTCCAGAGCTGAGATATCGAAACTCAAAATTCGGCCCGAAAAAAAAAAACGACAGTGGTACCCCTTACGTTTTTTTTTTTTGGGCGAAAAATTAAGTTTCTCCAATCTTCCCAAAACTCTGGATTCTGATAGAGGGCCATGAGACTTAGACCTGAGTGCAAAAATGGAGGCTCTAGCCCCTTCCAGAGCTGAGATATCGAAACTCAAAATTCGGCCCGAAAAAAAAAAACGACAGTGGTACCCCTTACGTTTTTTTTTTGGGCGAAAAATTAAGTTTCTCCAATCTTCCCAAAACTCTGGATTCTGATAGAGGGCCATGAGACTTAGACCTGAGTGCAAAAATGGAGGCTCTAGCCCCTTCCAGAGCTGAGATATCGAAACTCAAAAATTCGGCCCGAAAAAAAAAACGACAGTGGTACGTTTTTTTTTTTGGGCGAAAAATTAAGTTTCTCCAATCTTCCCAAAACTCTGGATTCTGATAGAGGGCCATGAGACTTAGACCTGAGTGCAAAAATGGAGGCTCTAGACCCTTCCAGAGCTGAGATATCGAAACTCAAAAATTCGACCCGAAAAAAAAACGACAGTGGTACCCCTTATGTTTTTTTTTTTGGGGCGAAAAATTAAGTTTCTCCAATCTTCCCAAAACTCTGGATTCTGATAGAGGGCCATGAGACTTAGACCTGAGTGCAAAAATGGAGGCTCTAGCCCCTTCCAGAGCTGAGATATCGAAACTCAAAACTTCGACCAGAAAAAAAAACGACAGTGTTACCCCTTATGTTTTTTTTTTTTTGGGCGAAAAATAAGTTTCCCCAATCTTCTCAAAACTCTGGATTCTGATAGAGGGCCATGAGACTTAGACCTGAGTGCAAAAATGGAGGCTCTAGACCCTTCCAGAGCTGAGATATTGAGATATTTATAATGGCATAAATGCTACGTGGGATCTCAATATGCACAATTTGCTCAATTTGCACTCTGGTCTAAATGCTACATGCTACATGGACGGACGCTTATGGTGTTCGGAAGCCCCGAGTCCTGGCTGCTAAACTATTGTTGAAGATCCGCTCAGGAGTCATGTCAGTAGCTCATATTCCCAACTGTAAATTCACCGATCCTTGTGATGAATAAAACATTTTGAGCCCCTTTGTGTACTCGTGCAGGAGGTTGCTGTGTCAGTTTTACATGTTGTAAAACATACAAATTGGTTGTATTTTTTTTTTTAAATATTTGTCATAAATAAAAATGTTAAAACCTATACTTTGAACTAGACCATAATTTGATTTTCAGTTTTAGATGTCAATGAATTAATCAAGATGTCATGTTTTAATAATAAAAAAATAAATAAATGCCATATAAAAGTGTACAAACACATACTTTGAAGACTACAGGTACTTAAGGTTATTAAGAAACAATAAGACGTAATATGAAAAGTTGTTGTTTATTACACATCTGCAGATAGAGACATTCACTGTACAGCATTTGCAGCAGATCAGAAAACGACCACAGGCGGCTTGATTAGACACAGGTTCGACAGTTGAATGAATACATCTATCCTTAATGTCAAATATACATTTCGAATTAATAACTTTTCCTAGATTAACAAAACCTGTAGCTCTCGTTGACTGAAGTCCTATTGTAAACATAATCCTCTGATCATTCGGACTTGTTCCAGCCGTTTCGGCACATGACATACGTCACTCACGACCACACGTTAGCGATTGGCTATGGCAGATCGTGAGTGATTCTGGGCAGATCCAATAGTTTTAAACTTTAACAGTGAACCCGCCTACAAGGAAGTAAACGTTTCTTAATGGAGAGGGGCCAGACTCTATGTAAAAATGAAATGTACTGGAAGGGTCTAGAGCCTCCATTTTTTGCACTCAGGTCTAAGTCCCATGGCCCTCTATCAGAATCCAGAGTTTCAAGAAGATTGGAGAAACTTATTTTTTCGCACCAAAAAAAAAAAAAAAAAAAAAAAAAACGAAAGGGGTACCAGTGTCGTTTTTTTGGGGCGTCGAAATTTTGAGTTTCCCTGATCTTCTTGAAACTCTGGATTCTGATATGGGCCATGGGACTTAGACCTGAGTGCAAAAATGGAGGCTCTAGACCCTTCCAGAGCTGAGATATTGAGATATTTATAATGGCATAAATGCTACGTGGGATCTCAATATCTCAGCTCAATATCATAGCTCTGGAAGGGTCTAGAGCCTCCATTTTTGCACTCAGGTCTAAGTCTCATGGCCCTCTATCAGAATCCAGAGTTTTGGGAAGATTGGAGAAACTTAATTTTTCGCCCAAAAAAAAAAAAAAAAAACGTAAGGGGTACCACTGTCGTTTTTTTTTTTCGGGCCGAATTTTTGAGTTTAGATATCTCAGCTCTGGAAGGGTCTAGAGCCTCCATTTTTTGCACTCAGGTCTAAATGCTACATGGGATCTCAATATCTCAGCTCTGGAAGGGTCCAGAGCCTCCATTTTTGCACTCAGATCAAAATGCCCTGCCCTCTATCAGAATCCAGAGTTTCAAGAAGATTGGAGAAACTTATTTTTTTCGCACCAAAAAAAAACAACAATAACAAACAAACAAAAAAACGAAAGGGGGTACCACTGTTGTTTTTTTGGGGGGTCGAAATTTTGAGTTTCTCTGATCTTCTTGAAACTGATAATGGAGGCTCTAGAGCCTTCCAGAGCTGAGATATTGAGATTCCACGTAGCTTTTATGCCATTATAAATATCTCAATATCTCAGCTCTGGAAGGGTCTAGAGCCTCCATTATCAGTTTCAAGAAGATCAGAGAAACTCAAAATTTCTCAAAAAAAAAAAAAAAAAAACGACAGTGGTACCCCTTACGTTTTTTTTTTAGTGCGAAAAAATAAGTTTCTCCAATCTTCTTGAAACTCTGGATTCTGATAGAGCGCCATGGGACTTAGAGCTGAGTGTAAAAATTGAGGCTCTAGAGACCCTTCCAGAGCTGAGATATTGAGATATTTATAATGGCATAAATGCTACGTGGGATCTCAATATCTCAGCTCTGGAAGGGTCTAGAGCCTGCATTTTTGCACTCAGGTCTAAGTCCCATGGCCCTCTATAAGAATTCAGAGTTTCAAGAACATCAGAGAAACTTAAAATTTCGATGCGAAAAAATAAGTTTCTCCAATCTTCTTTTTGAAACTCTGGATTCTGATAGAGGGCCATGGGACTTAGACCTGAGTGTAAAAATGGAGGCTCTAGACCCTTCCAGAGCTGAGATATTGAGATATTTATAATGGCATAAATGCGAAAGGGTCTAGCACCTCCATTTTTGCACTTAGGTCTAAGTATCACAAAAAATGTCAGGCTCCCTTTTTAATCACACACACTCTCTCACTCACTCACTCACACACACACACACACACACACACACGCTCTCTCACACACACACCAACAACTTTCTCACACATACCCACACATACACACTCGCACACACACGGACATGCACGCACGCGCGCACACACACACACACACACACACACACACACACACACACACTTGCATGTTGAATGTTTTTTTTTAAAATATTCAATTTACTCACTGCATATTTGTATAATTCAGATAATAATAACTATATTAATAATAATCTCATTAATAATTAATAATAATAACTAATACACTATAAAGAAAATTACAAAATATAAAGTTAAGCCACTTCATAAGACTACACAATTTAGTGAATATTTAATTTACTGTAAATGTATAGCATTATGCCTTTATGGGATTTCTTCTTGTCTTCAAGGAAAAAGCCGGCGACTCGACATATAAAGTTGATTCTGATTGGTTCTCTTCTGTGCATTCGAAGTGCTGATTGGCTCATATAGATAGAACCAAGTTAGAGTTCAACTTTGTAGATAGAACCTTTTTGTTTTTTCAAAAAAAAGTCCCACAATGAACACAACTTAAAAAAACACACCAAATAACGTAAATAAGTTGTCACAGAATAAGAATATATGAATAACTCAATTTTGACAAAAAATGTCAGATAGAACCTTATAATTCCAAGGGGACGAATTGACATTTTATTCGTCATTTTTTAACGATTGCACAAAACAGAAGAAATACAAAAATATATACATCATTTAATTATACTTTACAAAAGGCAAAACATGAATTAAACGTAAATGTCCCTTGTTGTCCTGTTGTTTGAGCGAGGTTAAGGCATGTTGTGCTAATCATAGGCCTAAATTACGGCATATTTCATAGGGATGATCGTTGTACAATATTAAGTAGGCTAAAATATTCCTATTATAAAACTTGAGCAGATCCCAATTAGAATAATGTATTTGAGGGAGCCTTTTAGCCTTAAGTAGTTCAAACCAATTCATGTAACTTTCATTCTGTAAGTGAGTCAGATTATTTCATTATTTTCTCTGACTGATTCATGTATGACTCAGTCAGAGAGTATAATGAAATAATCTGAAATAATTTCATTCACTTAGCAGACTCAACTCATGAGTGATTTTTTCAGGAATCAGACTGTACTGGTAGTGTGATTAAACCTTTATAGGCCTATCTGCTTATCATGACTGGATGTACCATTAAAAAAATACATGTATCATGAAAGATAGGCCTACACGTATCCTCCTTCACCCTTTTCATTTATCGCACCTTCATTTGAGGAAAAAAGAAAATAAACTGACGTGTATAACAAATACAGATACATATTACCAATAAAATTATCAGAATTTGTTGATATGTTATAAAAACAACAACAACATTGGATTGTGCAGTATTCATTAGTTTGCAAATCATATGTAATTACCTACAGGATTTCTATGGACTTTACAGTATAGGTACATCCATTTGGCCTTTTGGAAATGGCTACTGGTAGATATGCTTTACTGAATGTTTAATCTCTGAACAGCCCAAGGCTGGACTGTACCCTTGCCAAATATAGTGAAGAAAACTGCTCCAAATATATTGATCGCTGCAGAGATGTAGAAGACAATTTGCCACTCTGGAATGGTATTCTAGATTAAAACAAAATATTTAGGCATTTGTTACTCCATTGTCAAAAAAGTCAAAAGTCAAAATAATCGTTAAATAAAAGCTTAATGATGTGAAGTACATGAAAAATGGTTTTCTCTTGAAATGAAGCATTTTATGTTATGAATGTTATGAAATATGTTAAGAATTCTCACATAATGAAAATGGGACCACCCTTACATCAGCAACACACATAGTCTTAAAAACTGTACAGCACCTTTCCTAGTTTATGCAGCACATTTCACATCATAATACAGTCTTTACATTAAAAAAAAAAAGTTTTTGCAAGAAACTGCAACTTACAGATTTGGTCAGAGATCTTGCTATTACTGGGCCCACCATTCCAGGTATAGTGGCAAATGTGTTTGTGATCCCAAGCAATATCCCAGCATAGCTGTGAAGAAGAAAACAACCTTTGATAAAACTATATCAAAAAATGTAGGGGCAATTTTATATACTGTTGAAACTATAGTTAACATACAATATGGATTTTATGCATGTACAGTTCTCCTAAACCAGGGATGGGCAATTCCAGTACTCAAGGGCCACTGTCCTGCAGAATTTAGCTCCAACCCTAATTAAACACACCTGAACAAGCTAATCAATGTTTTCAGGATTACTAAAAACTAATTTTGTCCTAAACTTTGCAGGACAGTGGCCCTCAAGGACCAGATTTGCCCATCCCTGTCTTAAAACATAAAAGCTGAAAAAAAAAAAGCCTTGTCTTACGAGGGAGCAATATCCAAATGGTTGATGTTAAATCCAGACGCTGAAATGCCCCCTAGAGCAGAAGAGATGGTGAGGAGGGCAATGGCCAAGGTGTAGTTACAGCCAGTGTAGCCAGCAGCCACCAGGAAGACAGCTGGTCCCACCATTCCTGGACACATTAAAACAGACAAACCTCACAGCACCAGTCCAATCATCCCATCAACATTTCTGCAAATGTGCACAGTTCAGCATAACAAAAAGTCTAAAGGGTGAGGGTCTATGAATACCTTACCTACTATAGTGAAAGCCTTGCGCACAATTACAGTGCGCATAAAACATTTCTCTCTCAAGAAGTCCGCCAGCTGTCCACCCAGCAATGCCAGCAACCAACAACCAAGATAGGGCAGAGCTGAGAGCATTCCATTCTGAGAATAACACAATGAGTTCACACTTACTACACAACAAATGGGCCTTTTGATAAGAGTCAGATGATGCACTTTACATAAAATACACTACCATTTAAAAGTTTGGGGTCTCTGTGTGTGTGTGTGTGTGTTTTAGAAATTAGCAAAAAACAAAAAAAAAAAAAAATCAGCAAAAAATGCATTAAATTGCTCAAAAGTGAAGACAATTATATTGTTGCAAAATATTTCTATTTCAAATAAATTCAGTTCTTTTGAAGTTTTAAGTGTGTAAAAGACTGATTTTAAATATATATGTATATATATTTATATATATAGTTACCAACCCCAACATACAAAATTTTCATTTTGGTAAATTTGAGTTAAATTGATTAAAAAATAAATAAATAAAAATCACAGATTTATGATGCATCTTCAACATACAAATCATTCAAAATTTAAAATACATTTGGTAAAATTCAAATAGTTCTGATAATAAGCCTGCTTTGCACTCACCTGCTGGATGCTGAATCCAAGAATATCATTCATGTAGGTGGGTAAGAGAGTCAGCAGAGTGTAAAATGTCCAGTTGTAGGAGAAGTGTGCTACAACTATAGCCCATAATGGCAAAGACTTGAGGATTGACGTCCATGGGATGTAATCTGTGGTTGGGGACAGCTGCAGCAGAAAATGACACATTATAATGCATACAGTCAATTAATGAGTCAATCATTAACAGGTTTTGAAATAAAAGGATATCTGTAGGATATCACTGCCTACTTCATTTTTTAAAGATGCCAATATGTATGCCTTCTCAGCCTCTGTAATCCTTTTGTGTGAGCTGGGAGTGTTACTGACTAAACAAGCCCAAAGGACAAACCAAAGAAGTCCAACAATTCCTATGATTCAAAGAGAAACGCTAATTAGATGAAGTATACTTTAAGAATACTCAGAGACAAGCTTGTGATCACATCTTTAATAATAAATCATGCTGCTTGTGCACACAGTTCACTTGAGTATAATAAAAACTTACCAAATATATAAAAGACGTATGTCCAGTCTAGATAAAAACATATCTGACCAGAAAGAGGGAGAGCCACTACAGTTCCCAGTTGAGCACCTTTAAAAGGAAAGAATGAAAGAATAGTACAAATTTGCAAATCTTAAGGAGATTGTTACACACGAAAGCATATGCGTTCTAGGGCACCTGTGTAAGAGATAGTGAGCAGTCGACTTCTCTCCAGAGGTGGTGCCCATGACGCCCACATTGCATGCATAGCAGGATATGACACTCCCTAGAAGCCCAAGAAGAACTTTTATTTTACAAAATGAATAACACCTTTATGTATCTTAATATTGTGATATATATTTTAAAGCATATATGACATATTATAAAGCATATTTTAGGTAATGAGTTGAGGTTACCTCCCCAATACCTTCCAACACCCTGACAGCGATGAGGTAACCAGCTCCTAGGTCAGCAGCTACTGGAGTCAGCAGGGTGAAGATCACAGTGCAAAGGATGCCAATACCCAAGAGCCACTTTGCACCGTACTTGCGTGCCAAGTAGCCACCTGGTATCTGAGTAAGTATATATCCATAGAAAAAAGAGCCCAGGATCCAGCCCTGAGTCTCTGAATCCCAGTCATACACACTGGCCTGTTGACATATTGAACAGAATATGATTCTAAAATCTCATGAATAGGCTTAAATTATTTAAAATGTGTATTGTCGAGCATAACATTTTTTAGACAATTTCAGACAACTCAAATGATGTCCCTTTCTTTTCATGCCATTTAAAATTATTAGGTATTTTTATTTTTAGGTAAATAAGTGACATTGTAAAAAAACCTATACATTTTAATTTATTTAAATTGTAAATACGTAAAACTTATTTCTGTAATTGTTCATAATACAGAAATGCTTACTCCTTTAAAATATTTATTTGAAATACACATGAAACTAAAATTATTATAGTTATGTGTGTTTTATTTTCCAAGTCATATAATAAAACAATGACAGTTTGCATATGTAATATGTGACACCATAAAGAAGAGGCCCTTACAGTGTGATTGTGTTTGGGAACAGGGCTGCTGTGATGAGGACAGACGGAGGAACTGCTGTTGGCACTGGTACGGTTTTTCAGCATGTCCACCATTGCCACACTAAGGTTCACCCTGAGGGCATATGCCACAAAGAAGCCATAACACGACAAAAAGGCCAACCCATAACGTGAGGAGCAGCAAGCAGGAGCTGGAAGAACAAATAGAAACCATTGTCAAATAGTGGTTAAAAGACTCTCCCAAAGCCTTTAAGTCTTTTTGTACCCTAGTTGTGAACGTGAATTGTCAATTGAATGCGGTGAGCTAAAAAAAAACACACTATGTACAGCACCCAAAACATACAGCTCGACCACTGTAGTCCAATTCACGAGCAAAATACTTTTATTATCCAGTTCTTTAAATGAATCATTCACAAAGAAGTATGAAGTTAAGAGTATGCTAACAGTTTTGAATCAGTCTGGTGAATCATCACTGAATGAACTGACTGAATTATTCGTGCTTAACCTTTATTAATCCTCTACATTGTCTCCAAATAGCATATATATATATATATATATATATATATATATATATATGAGATTGTCTTATCATTGGAGAAACTACTTCACTTGTACATTCACAAGATGAAATTAAAAAAAAAAAAAAAAAAAACATCAAAGAAACATGAGAACTGGTTCGCTATCTTTGAAGGTACTCTCCATAGACATAATGTTTTTATACTCTACAAACTCTATCTGTACACTAATCCTAACCCTAATTAATTCTAGCATCGCAGAAAAAAATGTCTGCATTTTTTACCTAAAAAATAAAAACTCATTCTGTATGGATTTACAAGCTTGTTTCCTCATGGGGTCCTCCATTTAGGTCCCCATGAGTCTGTGTGCATTCAGGTTGAAGTAGAAAACACACACACACACACACACACACACACACGCATCATCTCATTTTATATCTCCTCTCTAGTGCCATCTCTATTTCTAAATTCCCTTTTATAAGTTGTTGGTTCATTAATATTCAATGTATTATTAACATACTACGCAGAAATGTTCAGAAAAGTTCAGGATATCCTTGGTCTAAAAACTAGTAGTAATTAAAAAATAAAGAACTAAATTTATTTTTTTCTTAACTTAAAGTATTAATAGCCTACTAAACAAATAAACAAGTAGGCCTACAAGTATCTTTAAAAATGTTCAAGTCCCTAAACAATAGTAAAAGCTTTTAAAACTATTAGTGAAATAGACACTATCTAAAAACATTAGTACTAGTATAAAATAGATTTTAAGTGTTAAACCGGCTTGCCGTAGATTTGTCGGTGTTACGGACCGGCTAGGTAGATTTTTAGAATAATTACCTGCATGACTAGCACACTTCCTCCTTCACGTGACTGGCTGTTTTGAATGATTTTGAAAGCACATCTGATAAACTCTTGCATTATTTATGCAGACTGCGTTAAGTGCTGCGACTGTGCGACAGTCACATAAAGTAATGAAGTCTGCACTTTTGAGATGAATGAATTCTGACATGTTATAACATAAATTGAAACTAAAAATAAATAGTGAATTTCTTATTATGGGGTTGTTCTAGCAAATTACAAGTTAACAATGGGCCATTTTCAATTAAGCACAACGATAACTGCATTTACATATAATATTGTTTTGAAAGTCCAATGGAACTTGTGGTACCATGGTACACGAAACCATGGTAAACCTGCATAAATACAGTACATAACAGGCATGAATAGTTAATATCTTTCTACCTTTCTGAATGTCGGTATCTTTCCTGCGAAGTAAAGGCTGAACATGATCTTCAGTTTCTGAGTCTGATGCTGAATGCTCCATCATCTTCAGCGGCTGCTGTCCGCCTGATGAGTGACCAGAAGCAAAACAACAACGACTGCGGAACCATCCGTGTCTCACCGTCAGCAAAAACGCATACCAAAATAAAAGTCCAGTGTTATGGTTCACCCTACTGATCGTATAAAAAAATAAAAAATAATAAATAAAAAAAACCAACAAAAAAACACTTTACTAGTATAATTTCTCTAAATATTTTCTAAAGGCCAGAATGTAAAACAAAGTGTAAGAATTGCACTTTAAATAATTAAATGGTTAAAATGAAAATAATACATTTTATTTCTCTCTAGAGTCTAGATGAAGTTTTTTTTAAATAAGAAATATTTCTCTCTAAATATTTTCTTAATGTGAATGTTCAGTCAATGACAGACTGTTTTTTCAAAGATCAATTAACAAAGAGTTCCTGCTTATTGGTGTTCTTTATATATTATTGAAATAATTATCCACTAGTATTACAGTAGTCCATGCTTAAAGAAAGAGTTCACCCAAAAATGAAAAGTCTGTCAATTTACTCACACTCAGTTCCAAACATGTACAAGTTTAATTTTTCTGTTGAAAACAAAAGAAGGTACTTTTTGAAGAATGGTGGCAAACCAGACTATTGACTTCCATAGTAGGAAAAATACTATGGAAGTCAATGGCTACCGTCAACCACCTGGTTTCCAAATTCTTCAAAACGCGTTCAACAGAAGAAAGTAAATGATGGCAGAATTGTCATTTTTGGGTAAACTTTCCCTTTGAGGAAATTCACATCATCACATTACAGTTGCTCTAGCTTTAAATCAATTTTTCAATGTGAAATTTAAAATTTTCTGTCAATCAGACAATAATACATGCAATGTCTAAAATTATTAAAAAATGTTATTTCAGCAATTTATTTTCTGTAAAGTTGTTTTGAAAAATGGAAAGCACTATATACAACTAGCAACACTGGCATAATCGTTCTCGGTCACACACACACACACACACCCTGAATGATCCCCACTTAGTGAGAAAACAATCTGATGGGCCTTCTGATTTCAATTTACTTGGTATCATAAATGTGGTTGGAACAAGCCCTCGTGGTGACCTAGATAGTATTTACCTATTCCCAAGAAAGGAACTGGCAGGGTACACAATAGGTAAAGACATGTGGGAGCTTGTCAGAGATGACAGAGACGATACACGTTCAACATCAATTTATTTTGTGCAAAAGAGTACATTAAAAAAAGGCAAATAAGAACTGACTAAAGAATGATGAGAATTTCTGCAAATGAATACACAATATTTTTGAATTTCAAATCTGTAAAAAAATCCTGCACAGATTGCATATAAATATGTATACACTTATCAGACTTCAAATATCTTGTTAAAATACATTTCAAGACTTGAAACATGTAGTTTGTGTTTCAGATGCGACTAGTGTTTCTATATCATCGTTACATGGGATTAGAGCATTTCAGCACCCGTCTCTAAAAAAAAAAAACAATGCCCCGAGTTTACATCAAAACATGCAAATGTAAAGTACATTAATAGACCATACTTGGTAAGTTATTGCAGTTATGAGTATAGTTATGAATGTTAAAGAACTATTCTCCTCTATGTGACTCGTCGTTCCCGGTATTCCCTGACACACTTTACATTGACACATACATAATTTCTCTTTGCTGATCATTTCTACCAATGTCTCTTAACCAGCTTTAAAAGTCCATGTCATTTTTCCCTTATTATTTCTTACTTTACATAGATCTTTCCATATGTTCTACTTGCCAAAGGCACTTTGTGTCTGTTCTTAAAAACCTGTAAATCAGAACCAATATCAGTACAACAGAGATCCAGATTACCACAAGCCCTAAATGTTTAGCTTGTCAGTAGTAGTACAGTATTTTAGAACTAAACCTCACCATTTCTACCATCTCCATTACTACCGATGACTTTAACAAAACATAATAATCATAATTCATACAAAAGCAATATGATAAAACATCACTGGCAACAATGCCTGGTTCTTTAATTGGTCTTAGCACAGAGATACATGCAAAACTATAACAATAAATCATATATATATAAAAAGAATGCAGTTAACCAGCAACTGCAAATGAATCAATTTTACATTAGAAAACAAGTGTCCACAGTGGCCTTAGGGACTGAGATGTCCATGTTACTGAACAAATGCTGAAGGAAGGAACTTCCTGAAAGTCTTCACCTCAATGCACTGAACAGCTCTCTCATTCTGCAGGGAGAGCAGTCACACGAAAAATACTACAGTCTCTCAGCATAGCGAAACATACGAGACAGGAGAGCTATAGTGTCTGGCACATTCAATGTGGAATGTGTAAAGCTTACAATGTGTATGTTTGGGCATTCATGAAGAAATAAACAGGCATACTGTAACATTTGCAGTTTGGATACAGCTACTCTCTCGTGATGGCCGCGTGCAACTTCCCAAAACGTTTTGAAAATAGTGAAGACAGAGCATAAAAAATGCTGCATCTGTCAGACACATCCTTCCTTCCCCATTTCCCCCAAAGCACATTTTCCGCTTCCCTCCAGCTTTTTTTTTCAAAACAGTGCAGACGTTAGCTGTGTTCCTAAGGAAGGAGATGAATAAACAGGACTGAGAAGGAGTTTCGAGAGGACTCCTTGAATTCAGGTTTGCTCTCTCAGCTGGACAAAGTGTTTTCATCGAGCTGTTCTGAAGGGACAGTGAGGTCTTGGATCTGGCGGTACACAAAGAAGAACAGTTGTGGCTGTGGGCGGCTATGTAGTTCGGCCTTGATCCTCTGTGGATGAGTGTCCGGGGCCAGCTGCTGTGTGGTTTCATCTGTCAAGAGGAAAAGGGCGTAGTTCTCCGGGTCCGAAACTTTAAACTTGTCCGCGCATATCTGACACACATCCTCCGTTGTGGCGTAAGGATGAACCTGAAGGGTTTTGGCTGTGCAGCCATTGCTTGCATCTTGCAGTGCCACCCGCAAGTAGTTCTGAATATAGACAAGAAGAAATTTAGAGGTACATACCAACCAATATATATCAGTAACGCTTCCTTTTACAGTACAGTACTTATGTGTACGTACAGTGTACTTACCTTGTAAAAAGTATTGCCTAATATAAGGTAAGTACATGGGTTAGGGGTAGGTTCAGGGTTAGTACCTACAGTAGTTATTACCCAGTAATTTTTATTACTATAATAAGTACATAGTATGTACTGTACATGGGTAACAGGACTGTAAAGGAAGCATTACATACATATAAAGCACATTACTCCCATAATTAAGTTATAATAATATAAAATATCATTATCATTACTGCACATAGTTCATTGCTATATCATTATTACTGCAAATAGCCATTTCTGCACTTAATAATCACAAAATTTCTTGATTATTGAAAGAAATAGGGCTGTGCAACGATTAATCGTAATTAATCGCATCCAAAATAAAAGTTTGTGTTTACATATGTGTGTGTACTGTCTATAATTATTTTGTATATATAAATACAGTACACACACACATGCATGTATATATTTAAGATAAAATGTTCTTAAATATTATGTATGTGTGTGTATTATTTATATATACAACATAATTACACACAGCACACACACATATGTTAGTATTCCAGCTAATAATTCTTTAGCAGTAATAATTATTTTAATAATAATTGGTATTATCATTGCAAATAATATACTTACAGTATGTTCTTAAATGTATATTGTTTTAAGGAAGAATAGATTAGAACTTTACCAGGGATTTACCTGGAAATCATCCACAGATGGCGTGGAACGCTGGGTTGTGCGTCTGCGGTGCCACTGGTGCAGCGTGTTTCGGGTCTCAGAGCTCAGCACACGAGCTGCCTGGTCCTCCTGGAAGTTCTTGATGAGAGACATTGCCCCATATGCACTGGTCAGGTAATAGCCTCCTAAAATCAGATAATAAATATTGGAACATTAAAAAAAGTGTTATGCCCGACAAAATTATGCAATAACTTTAGTAGTTACTGCTGTAGCCCACACACACAGTAGGGTCTAATGTACCTTCTCCATGAAGCAGTGATGGGTCCAGTAACTCCATCATGTACTGTATTTCAGCATCCAGCTGTGGCATGTCACACTGGGCCATCACATATGTCAGCATGGGCAGGAAGTCATCTGCCCCATACATCCTCCCTGCCATTATTACAACAAAGATTGAAATCATGAGTCTATGCAGAAGTATTGTAAGCATTCTGTGCACAACCACATTCATATATTCACACTACTATCGTACATCACACTTATGTACCTGAGTTGCTCTCCATTATGTTGTAGATAAGCTTGCACACACTGAGAAGCAGAGACACTTTTTTCTCTGGCGAGTACATCTTGCACATGTTGTGGAACTTGTGGCGAATCTTCTCTATGGCCACTTGGTCAGGGGGAAGAGCACCATCCACACCCATCTCCTGGGGCTGCTTGGCTTTGGCCGAAACCAGATTCTCCTTCAGCTGCTGCCAAGTCCCGCTGCTCACCTGGAAGTCCTGCAGAGCTGCCTCTATCACAGGCTTCAGGGGCTTCAGCACACACTTGTGCATGGCTTTCTCCATCACCTGATCTATGGAGGAAAATGTAGACATATGATCAAAATAGTTACATAGAACAGTTGCATATCAATGGGAAATAGGACTAAGCTAGATGCAGCTACTGCAAAAAAAAAAAAGTGTGTAAAAAGAAAACCTGTTAATTTAATCTCTGAAATTCTGATCAAGTTTGTTGATGATTGAATCTCTTATGCATTTATTTGATCTGAAGTAAAAACAGTCATATTGTGAAATATTATTACAATTTAAAATGACTGTTTTCAATGTTATTATATTTCAAATTTTTTATTTCATTCCTGTGATGGTAAACCAGAATTTTCAGCAGCCATTACTCCAGTCTTCAGTGTCTATGTCACCTAATCAGTGTCTAATAATATGCTGATTTGGTGACAAAAAGACATATCAATGTTAAAATCAGTTTTGCTGCTTAATATCTTTTTTAGGATGCATTGATGAATAGAAAGGTTAAACATAGACCCCTTTAAATAGAAAAAACATTTATTTAAAATGGAATGATTTTGTAACGAAGTATGTTTTGGAATGTGTTTTGGTCTACTCCATCATAACTATAGAAGGCAGGAACAGAGAAAAACATTGGAAAATAAATAAAATCTCAACAAAAAAGATTTTTGGACAAGTCTATTTGTGGACAATCCTATTTGTGGCTGGAACACTGTGACCATGAGTACATTGACTGGGATATCCGACGTGGCTCATAGTTCCATTTCCTCCTTTATAGGGGAATACCTGCTCACAGTATTTTTACACCTACGTTTCCAAAACTCTTGTTCCAAAACAAGTACAAAATGTCTCCCGACAGCTCAACAGTCCCTGGTATTGCTCACATATGACAACAAGTTTTGTCCTGTAACTTTGATTGTGCAAGCAGGGCTTGAAGACCATGCCTAAACTGTAAAATCATCTATAAACTGTGGGAGAGTGTATGTGTAACTAAAATCATCTGATCTAAAGATCAGAATGTAATGTTTAAACAGGCTTTGGAAAAGGCTGACAGTGCTGCTTCTGTCAGCACACTAGACCACTAAGGGAAGAATCACCGTCATAAGTGGTGACAACAGGCATGATTTTGTGGCACTGCATTCGCTTAAAAAAAATAAAAAAATATATATATATATATATATACATTTTACAAACAACTACAATTTTTGGTCTATTACAAATGTAAATTTTAATTGTAAGTTTAAAACAAATTTTATATAGTGTAAATAGCATAATGGTTTTTAGACAGACTTTTCTAGGAAAACAGTGAATTATATCCATAAAAGGTTGGATGATTTCACATCATAACTTGTAACATGACAGTTTACACTTCAATTGTCAGTAAATGTCTTCAACGTGTAGCAGCTTGACTCAACTGCTAGAGACTGTAACAACTTGTCAAACCTGTTTTTGGAAATAAAGTAAACTAAAACCTTTTATTTCAAATGCAGTCCATATGAAATCAATTCAAAAATGTAAAAAACAAAGCTATTTGTCATCAGCGAACACAATGGGGTCAAATGCTATCTACAAGTGTCCACAACAATCGCCAAACGGAAATATCAGCTTCCTTTTTTCACCAGCCAAGGCTACATATACTCCCACTCAGTCACTCCATTCACAAGAAATGATGTATCAGAAGCACAAATAATAAATAGCCAGATTATTGTGCCTTACATGAGGTTATTTTAGAGGTCTGACACAGCTAAATGCTTAAACAGAATCAGCTGTTGCAAATGTGTTTACATGGTCAACTGTCCCAGGAGAGAGCAGACAGCTTGGTAAACAAGACCCGCTCCTGTCACTTTTGTGAAAAATGCAAAGAGCTCAGCTAATGAAGGCGTGAGGGTGGCACAGAGCCAAAGATTTAGAGGAACTGAACTGGTTTGTAGTTCCACTTAAGAGTTTTATTCTGTGGAACAACCACAGACACAGTGAAAGGGACAGGACTGGGAGTGGTACATATTACATACTATATAATGTTATGTGTACTATCTTTACTATTTAGCAAATTCTTGTGATTTGGACCCTTAATATTTGGCTAGGATGTTACTCCACATCAAGTCAACAGGAAACCACAGCAGTGATGGCAACAGGAATATTTACAGGAATGAGGCTCAGATCAGAAACACTCATTCGTCAAGGCCACCTCTACTTGAAAGGCTATCTTCCAAGGCTTATAAACATCCTCTCAGACAATTGCCGATTCTCCTCAGTGTCTCTCATACACAGACACTGTCTGTCTCTCTCTCGCTCCATGTCTGCACTGTAATCTGGAAAATGAAGCCGCAGTGACAGGAGAAGTGAATCCACTGATGCTTCCCACACAACAAGCACACGCTAGCGTTAAAGTTAGGAGACAAAGCCGCTAAGTACGTCACAACACAGAACAAAAGGCACACACAAATTACCGGTATACCAGACAAATAGACCAAATAAAATTCCCCTACATAGTCTATTGAACCCTCCAAAGAAACAAAGTATTTCAGGAAAATGAATGATAACACCAAACTGAATCTTTAATCTAAGACGTTTTTTTAGGAAGTACTCAAAATAGAGTAAAGGCACAACAATAAAAAAATAAAAAATCCTTGGGCCTGAAGTAGAAACAATAAGTCTTTCCAGACACATTTTGATAAAACAGTGTCTTAACAATGTTATGACTCAAAAGTGAGTTATGAGATGAAACACAGACTTTAAAAAGAGACTTCGGGGGAAAAAAAAAGTGTGACATTATCTGTCAAAGGTCATTAACTGTGCATTCAAGCTTGTTCTTATTGCTTTGTTAAGTCGCAGAAAAGGATTGCTGTCCATGGCAGCATGATCTCATAGCTATGGCCCTTATTGTGCTTGTTTAAACACAATCTGACAGTTTGCAAAAGGCAGCAGCATCAGGTTAGGAGTTCTGAACAAGAGCGCTTTTCTCTACATTCTTGCCTAACACCCACATACTTGATGCCTGAATCAACAAGCAGGGGGGTTTACGTCGGATCATAGTAGAGCTATATCGGAGACACTGGCTTGTTTGCCTAAGGTCCATTATGGGAACATCTGGAAAGTGATTTATTCCTCAAAACACATAGCAGAGCAAGAATTTGTTTACAACCCATTAAAAGAGAGATGAGGAGGAGGAGGACGCTCCGGGCGATGGATGATGCAAATTTCCTGAACCAAAACAAGAACCCGGCTGGGCTGATCATCATTAATGAAATCATCATTAATACTTTAGAATTTATGAAAATTACCCTCAACCAAATTTGTGATAACTAAACTACTTCAGCATGTACTGTAAATCTGTTTACAGCTATTGTGTCGCAGGCAGTGAAAGGCATGTGGTCAGTTATACAAAAGCCATACTAATGGTTCTCTACCCACACAAGAGTATGCCAGAGTATATCTCAACTCAATGTCCCTTGTGTGTGCCGCTCACGTGGAGTAAAACTCCTCCAGGCCGAGATGAACAGACATTTTGCCTCATGCACGCACGCTCACAGGTTTAACCCTCAGGGACCCAAGAATTCATACTGATGATCTACTGTTTGTTTACACCCAAAAACATGTTTTTAAGAAGGCACTGGTTATAAAAATCATGATATTTATCTGAATACAATATCTCGTTTAAACAGGTTTTTAAAATATTTAAAGAAATTATTCTGCACTGTATATATCACACTTTCCAATTCTTCGAAATGTTGCAGATATATATTATCCAAAATAGTTTGCAATGGTGCAACGATGTCAGTAATCGTGTTGTGTAATATTACATACTTTGCAAACTATGCCATTAAAACAGTAAATATTTCCCTGCCAAATTTCTTGTTGTGAATGATTTGCGACTAATTTTGCTACAATGGGTGTTTGGGGGTAAAAGAACTGTAAAGTGACAGTATACCAACATACTGGACATAATGAGAAACATTCGTGCCCTCTTCCCAGCTACAGAATTCTCCAGGCACACAGCAAAGTGAAATTATTACGGGTTTAATATTATGACCTGCTGCTCTGGAATTTAAAAAATACTGTTTTATTTGTACACTTAAAATTCTAGCTAAAAGGTCCTATTTGTTGTACGGTGAGTGGTGGACCACAGGTTCCTTGTAAATCTGTGGCAATGGAGACTGGTGCCTCATTTTACAAGAAGATTCAGATCATAAACAGTCCGCCAAAACTGTCTCAGCCTGTGAGACCCTCATCCACTGTCTGTTAACCACAAAATAGCCTTGGATCACTCTCAATGTCACTTTTCAACCCTAAGCAACATTCTGATGCACAGCTGATTATTCCAAATAGTTCACTAAGGAACCTATATGATAACCTATATATTGGTAAGCCTTAGCCCTATGGTACACAGCTCTTGCAAGATGAGATCTGTCTTTAGTAATTGTATTATCACTGTATATTAACCTCTACTACAAAGACAGTTTACCAGATGTCAGAGCAAATATTATTTCCTCTAATCCTCTGCATTGAGAGTAAGTTAATTAACACTGACAAGATCATTAAGTGCCTTAATACTGCAGAGTTACAATTTAGTGTGTTTAGTGCAATGGCCCAGCCCCAAATGGCACATCGGATGTGTATTTGTGGTCTTGCCATGGCCGGTGCATGGTTGTGAATTTCTAAGAGACTGCAATTCGACACCACATAGCACCCCCCTTTGTGGAGTCAATGCACACTTTCGCAAAATCTTCCCTTTTGTATTGAAGGAAGGAAGCCTTACCAATTTGATCCTCTGGGATGAGGGACTCAATAGGTGGGTCAAGCTCCGAGCTCTGCAACAGGTAGGACTTCATCTGAGTCATGAACTGCCTGAGAGTCTGCAGCAGGTCCAATCCCGACGTGTGGCTGCCGGCATTCTCCTGCAAAAAGCTCACATAGTCCTGCACCAGGCAGCCAAAGTAAGTCCCTTTATCCCTGGACTGCTCAACAATCTTCCGAATGGCTCTCCTCTCGGGCGTCATCAGAGAATTGAGAACGCCGCTCATTTTGCGCAAATGTCCTCTCAGTGCACGCGGCAGAACGAATGTACCAGCACCGTTACGCTTTTTTGACTTGAAGGGTAGTGGCGCCTCCTGGTCGCTCTCCAAGTTGATGCCATCGTCTTCTTCCTCTTCTTCCTCCTCCAGGCTGCTGTCGCCAGTGGGACGTTCAGTTCTGGAGGGACTGGCCTCCATAGGCAGCGAGAAGCTGTGGGTGAAGTCGAGAGAATCTGAGGACGAGGTGGAGATGCTGAGGTCGCTCAGACGCTCTCGTCCTGTCGAGCAGCGCTCATCTGCGGGGCTGCAGTTCTCCAGGGTCGTGGAGTTGCATGAAGAAAGCTTGGCAAGGCTCCAAGACACGGCTTCCTCAATGGTCTGGTCGTCAAGGGCCATGTGGCAGCGGAGCCCGTCTGCGTCAAGCAGACCGGAGGAATTCTTACTGCGAGATGAGGGCACTAGGATGGGCTTACTGAACTTTTTGGGTGGGGAGGATGAGGGAGATAAGGAACTAAAGGATGATCCCAACCTCCCCAGCAGACTGCTCTTTTCCTGAGGCGTTTTGATCCAACAGACCGTCTCAGGCATGGTCTTCTGTTTACGGAGAACTGCTGATTTGCCGGAGGCAAAGCAGGGGGGTGGGGGTCGAGGTGGTGGGGATCTCTCACTCTTGGATCTAGTCACACTAGCGTGTGGTTTGTTTTGTGTGCTGCTTGTTCGACAGAAGATGCTGCGATCTATTCTATGCAGAGCACTGTGGCGGTGCTGAGAGCCACTTGCGTTACCTGGGGATGTTTCTTGCTTTTTGGGTGAAGGGTTAGTTTGGTGGGTCTGCTGGAAGAGGGGATTGATGAAGCACAGCGCTCCGTTGGATTGACTATGTTCAAGTTCAGAAGGGGTCCGAGTGAATGGGATGCCCGCGACTCTTGGGGAGAAATTAATGCCCAACTGTTTTAGATTTCGACTGTCACAAACAGTCTCCCCAGACTCAGAAGACTTCTTCTTATTGCACAGTTCAGAGTCCCAGAAACCTGCAGAAAGATAACACAAGGCTTCATTTGAATAAAAAAATGCAATAAATTTGGATAAAGAGAAGACATTCTCAGGAAAAGATCATTTTCTGAATTTGATGAACTAAGAGGACAGCTGAATCATAGATTTTTTTTTAAACATAATAATTAAGGAAGAATATTAGAAATAAACAAATAAAAGATAAATCTCAGACAATTCTAAATATTGAGCTACAATATCAAGGGATTCACAAAAATGCTCAAGAACATTAACAGACACTTCAGATAACTCTTCTGAAAGGGTTATCCTACAAATCTAAGCACTGGCATTCAGAACACAATGACACAATCAAGTGGGCGCAAACACGAAACCACAAAATTCCATGAGAGAAACTAATGAAAAAACATTGTAGTGAACAATCAACAAAACCTTAAAACAATAAAGACAAGAAAAGGAGAATCAAACTCACGCTACATCTAATAATTAAGTCTTCTCTTCAGTCTGTATGTAAATAGTGTGAGCAGGAAAGTTTACACGTCTACAGTCCATGCAGTGACTCTGCTGTCTGAGTTGTGAGTGGTAGAGTAGTGCTGATACACACTCAGTGAATGGTGAGATCATGCATGCTGAAGAGAAGGTGGGAGGAGCACAGACGCTCCAGCTCTCAGTTCCTCCTCTCATATTACTCACTCTTTCATACTAAAGGCCGTCCTTCCAAACGTTTTCATTTGATGCAATACAAAAATGACTTTTCTTTACTTTGGTTTTGTTATTAAGTTTGTACTTCGATCAAGTTTCAGTTTTAGGTAATTGAACACTATAAGTATCGACTATAACTGTAAGATATAAAAATAAATAAACAAAAGGGGAAAATGTTGTACATACTGTAATGTGCTGATTAATTTACCAATAAATTGAGGTCAATTTCTAAATTTAGAGATAAGTGCTGCATCATTTAATATATTTTTAAGGTAAATAAATTGAAAACTTTGCCGATGTAGTTTAGAACAAAATTGGTATAGTTTGGCCAGATATGTCAAGTTATTTTTTATTAAATAATAGCAATAATAATAGTAAATTGAAAGCTAGAACAGAAATATAGGATTGACAGGAAATAAGCTTTTTTTTTTTTTCTTGAGCAGTCATCTCCTAACTGATGACATCTGAGACAAGTGCGGGAAGTGTTTGTGTCACTCAGGGCTGCGTTTCCCAAAAGTTTCCCCAACTTAAAGGAATACTCCACTTTTTTTGGAAATAGGCTCATTTTACCACTCCCCCAGAATTAAACAGTTGAGTTTTACCGTTTTCTAATATATTCAGCCGATTTTCTGATATTTAGAAGAAAATCAGTAACCAGACAGTTTCTGGTCTCATTGACTTCCATAGTATATTTTTTTCCTACTATGGAAGTCAATGAGACCAGAAACTGTCTGGTTACTGATATTCTTCTAAATATCAGAACATCGGCTGAATGGATTCAAAAACAGTAAAACTCAAAACTGTTTAACTCTGGGGGAGTTGTAAAATGAGCCTGTTTCCAAAAAAAGTGGAGTATCCCTTTAAGCTTACGATGCGTTTGGGAAACCCAGACCTGATCAGTTCTGCAGAAGTGCCACCTGTACAGGCGTGGAGTGACTGGAAACCTGAACCAGTGTATACAATTGTTCTTTTATTTGATCTTTTCTGTTTCTTCTTTGCCTCACTCTCTGTAAACAAACTTAAAATGCTACCATTATGTTGTGTTGCCTTTGTCTCTTTTGCTCTGTCTGCTACGCTTCTCTTGTTATCCTCAGCTCACCCCCCGTTTCCTGATCATAAGTTAATGAGCCGCTGGAATTTTGTCTTGGTGGAGATTCTCTTGGAAATGATCTTAGTTTGAGGTACCACACCCATCACTGCTCTCAGCTTAACTCTGCATGGCCATTTTAGCATTCATTGTTGCATAACCGTATTATTACAGGTGGCATAACCTACCTGCCAAGAGTCAAAGTCTCACCTATCCAAATCAGATTGCCTGGTCTTCCTGAGAAAAATATGATCCCCTTTGCGATTTCAAGTATGCCATTTCACAAAACTAAAACATGATCTTATTGCTCTTAAACTCTTAAATGCAAACATGAACCAAAACAAATAATTTACTGATTTCATATTCAGATTATGGTAAAAAAAAATGCTTTTGACACAAATCAAACAATTTAATCATATAATGATCATCATTTCTTCTAATCAAACAAAACCACAACAAATTAGTTTTTATACGTCTTACTAGAGGAATTATTCACATCACATACGTCAATTAAAATACAAAGTTCCAACATGAATCAGAAACAAAGCAAACAGGCAGATCTCTGTTTGACAGACAAATTTACTAGCATCAAACACATCTGTGGTCAATTTCACCAAGCAAAAGCCTTATCACATAAACGCATATGATGTCTGCATGAGCTGCTTGTAAAATGCCACGTGTCAAATGAGTACTGTAGTATTATCAATACTCCAGGATGTGTCCGAATGATGGTCTGTCCTTCACTATGACAGATGTTGTTGTACTACAAAATCTAGCATGTTCATACAGCCTGCGGGCTTAAGGCTGGGATGGAAAGATCATACAACATTATGTTGAATTGGCTGCCTTTATTTTTCCATAGCTGGTCACTCAAATACTGTATATTAGGGATGCACAATATATGGATATATGCACAATATTTTTACATTTAGATTTCATTTGATGTCATCAAACATGATTAGTGTTTTTAAAGATAAACTTAACGTGCGCACGTTAAGTTTATCTTTAAAAACACTAATCATTTAATAACACTGATAAATGTAATCTTTAACAAATGACAAAACTATTATGTAGTGATGCATAAATTAATTTGTAAAATTTAAAATTACGGATTTTAATGTTTATTTAGACAGTATAACAGTAAAGAGTTTTAATAATGGGTATCAATTGGTTATTGGCTACAAAATGAAAATAAGTTTATCATATTTTAACATATGCACCCCTTCTCTCTCTCTATATAGGTTATGCTGTATTCCACAGAGTACAGTATTAAAACTTTGACCTAAATTGAAAAAGGAATGCAAACATCTGCATTAGGTTTAAAGTACTACACACAGCATTACACCCAAACACACAGACATATAATAAACACAAAAAACTGAGGGTCATTAGAGGAGCAGTTATGCTGTCTGAGTAACACTGAAACCCAGCAGTTAGGCTCAGTAAAACATTCATGCACAGAGACGAATATTCACCTCTCCCGCACTGAGCCACTTCCTCCAGATCTGTGAGGGTCTTTGCAGCTGCAATGGCCTCAGGGAGCTTCAGGGTGAAGGGCAGAACGTCCCTAAAGAGCACAAATAAATGTTGAGAATCATTACAAACATTCTTCAAAAGACTGATGACAAATACTTAAAACTAAATGTGGTGAGAGTTGTCTGCACTCGTGGAGAGAGTGAAAAAAGGAATGAGTAGGCTAGCGAGAAAGAGGTCTGTGTTTATCCACTGACTTTTCTGCGTGGCATTGGCACAGACCTAGCTTGGATTTGTTAAGTCTAGCAAACCTCTTCATTACAGAGCTCGTTTGGGTGGGGTGTAAACAAGTTAAAACAAACTAACTTTGACTACACTCAATCAAATTCAACCAAAAAGAGGCCATGTTTCCAGTTAGACTCTTCCTTCCTGTTATTATCTGTGTTGCACTGGAATGCAATTGAATAAGCATCATCTGGTTTTACTTCACCACAAACTTTTTAATTTATTCTCAGAACTTCAGGAGATTTCCTTAAAGGTGCAGGGTATCCTTTCCACACATTAACAACACCTCTCCTTTCCATTGGCCCAGTCCAAAAGAAAGTCCCACCCTAAACTCATGCCATCGGTTGAGCTAATGCTGTGTTAGGCATGTGTATGCTTGGGTAATCATTACTACATGTGGTTTTAGTATAAACCTCTTTAGACTTTCTTATGGAAGAAGCAAGAATTCTTATAAATGAATAATATATACACCAACAAAACATAAAGGTTGTGGTCCTCCATCTTTTAAATATTAAAAAGTCCAGTGAATTATCTTGGAAACAAAAGCAGTGTTTGTAGCAGTTTCATTTGGTTTTCAGTATAGGATCATCTTACCTGCTGATACAGCAGAATGCCACCAGTCGAAAGAGGTCTGCAAAGCTGATCCCTGAGCCCTCCAGGGAAAAAGCTGTAATAAAGACACACCACAGAAGGTTACACTGGACTTGCCATTGGAAAAAGTGGAATGACCTAACAGCCTCTCTTCATAGGAAAAAGTAAACAGAGCCACATTTGTACATTTAAACTTCCTTCACACAAGCCGCGCAGGATCTGACCTACTTACTCTATGTGCAGAGATTGACAGACAAAAGCAGAGAGAGAAAACAGAGAGATGAAACCATTCTAATATGCTGGTTATACACTTCATAATTTTGTGAAATCCGTGATAATTATTCTTTTAACTGAAAAATCATGGAAACAAGGACTTAGTAAAAAATCTTTTACTAAGATTTACTATATATACTGTATATATTATGCATATGAATAATATTTAAAAAAAATAATTTTTGAATGATACTAAATGCTGTTCAGATCAAAATACACATATAATATACTGACATTCAGTACCACGGCACTTTTATCACCCTGTCATATTAAATGTGTGTTTGACAGATTAACATGATTTATAAATTAAGTTAAAGCAGTGTGTATGAATATAGCTAAGGTCTAAAAAGTATTAAAGATCAAATTGCATGACAAATAAAGTAATTGTCTCCTAAAAGAAAGAACCGATCAATCCTGAACTGCTGAAATGAGTCATCAGCAATTCCATTCTCAATTCCTGTTACATACCTACAGTATGTAACAAATTTGCGTAACACCAGCCTATGGTCTTCATTGGCTGCTCCCAAACAAGATCTAATTTAGGGCCGCCCTCAAACACTGTAATTGTTGCTGGTTCATGTAGTTTGGTTTGTGTTGTCAACATGTCAAGAATGACGTTGTTTTCAGAGCTGTGAATCCACTTTGCATGCACATCAAAAGGATGTGCACTCGCACTGGAATTGATACAGGAAAAAAAAAAGCATTGCCATTGTGCTGAGGAAGCCTCCAAAGCTGAAATTCAGATATGGTAATGGACGTTTCGTTTCCGGCACGCACTGTAAGCGGTAGACCAATCACGAAAGACTGTGCCATTTGGCAAAATCAGAGCAGAGTAGGCTTGTGGAAATGAGGGGTTTAGAGACAATCTTTCAACAAAACTTTTCAGACTCTTTGAAAAATGAGGTGATGTGAAATGTGTTTTTTTGTTTTTTTTTTACCTTGGATGTATGTAAACCTATTGTATGAGACTTCAAAACAAAATTAGGAACCTTTAAATTGCATATAGGGGCACTTTAAAATTCTCGATTAAAGAAACGTCTGTTATGTATTAGTAAGTTAACTGCTGCTCTGACAAGAGAACAATTAGACAGGACGTGGACAGGTAAATAAATAAAAACACATCAAAAAATTCCGGCAGGAGGAAGTGAAAAAGGTGACATACACACAATATTAGTGGTCTGCAAATGAAAAGTACTTTGGTATAGTACTTACTATATTGGCTCTCTTTAACAGGGAAGTCCCGAACAATCAGGGTGTCACTGTCCATCCGCAGGGAAATCACCTTTTTCTGCAATTTATAACACCTCCTCACCACAAAACTCTAGTAAAACACAGACACACAAATGAGAAGAAAGAACAAGAACATGAATAAAAAATAAATTGCAAAATAACCTATTGTTGTTGAGTAAGTTGGCTGCTGCATCTACGCAGAAAGTGTCTTTACCCCTGCCGGCTGCGGCTGCAGAATGCGCCTGGCTTCCTCATCGCTGAGTGACAGCAGCAACCATACAGAGTGTGTCTGCATCAATCTGTCTAGGATGCTCATGCGTCTGCGTAGAGAGTCATACCCAGAATCCCTCACTCCAGGCGCACCAGCGCAGGCAGAAGACTGTAGGAACAGACCACTCACCTCTCCTTCCAGACTACAGATATATACATAGAGAAAGAGAGAGAAACTTATATTCCATAACAACATAAGATAAAAACAACACTTGATTGATGCAGTGGTTGTCAAATGTTTTCAGGTGGAAGATCCTTTATTTATTGAAAAAAAAAAATCTTACTAACCACAAAATTCTGAATGGTAGTTTATAACCTATATCTTAGAACTGTCTGACTGTGACTCTAAGCTAATGAGACTAAATGTTGACTAAAAGATGCATACAATAACGCAACTTTGGTTTACTCTGAGAACTGTCATTGTAAACCTTTATTTCACAACATCACATGATAAACAACACTTTATCTTGTATTGAAGCAATGGTTGTCAAATGTTTTAATGTGGCAGGCAGATCTGAGTTTTGTTTTTAACAGTATGATAGGTCAGTGTGGGTTTGGAAAGGTTTTACTGACTTTGTCTCTCAAGCTGTAAAGTGTTTCAAGTGGTCTGTGACTTAGCTTATTAAAAAAATATAGACTACAGTAAGTAAAAATAATGCATACAGTCACCTAAAGGATTATTAGGAACACCTGTTCAATTTCTTATTAATACAATTATCCAATCAACCAATGACAAGGCAGTTGCTTCAATGCATTTAGGGGTGTGGTCTTGGTTAAGACAATCTCCTGAACTCTAAACTGAATGTCAGAATGGGAAAGAAATGTAATTTAAGCAATTTTGAGCGTGGCATGGTTGTTGGTGCCAGACGGGTCAGTCTGAGTATTTCACAGTCTGCTCAGTTACTGGGATTTTCATGCACAACCATTTCTAGGGTTTACAAAGAATGGTGTGAAAAGGGAAAAACATCCAGTATGCGGCAGTCCTGTGGGTGAAAATGCCTTGTTGATGCTAGAGGTCTGAGGAGAATGGGAAAAAAGAAAGGAGCTTGTTTTGGTTGTCACTTAAGGTGTTTTCTAAATTTTGAAAGCTGATTGTGAAACTCCTGAATGTATTTGTTCCATGCACTTCCTTTTAATTTCATGGAAATGTGGTATGTCTTACGGTGTAAAAATAAGACATGCTCCACCTGGTGGAGAACATAGAAAGTACAAAAACAAACAATGAATCTACACAGTCCAAAAAGACTCCGCAAGAGACAAGACATTTTATTTTTAAGCGTTTTAAATTTAAATTGTGGTCTCAGACCTTTGGATCTTGTGGATTCCTCCACAGATCTGGAGGAAGTGGCTCTGATGGGCCGACTGATTCAGTTCTGCAGAAGTGCCACCTGTACAGGTGTGGAGTGACTGGAAACCTGAACCAGTTTATCCACAAGTTTCCTAGGCCCCATGAGGCCTTGCGTCAAAAGTGGGCACGTTTTCCGGTTCGAAGTAAACAAAGCGCGACTTGACATACTTCACACTCGTTCATTCAACAGTTGATAGTCATTCAAGTTATAGCGATCCAAACTAGCTAACGATGTGGGAACACAACCTCAACGAAATTAAAAAGGGTGAAATAACAGTACCTTTACCCTCTGCAGTTACTTGGTTGGGAGTATTATAATAACATTATTAATAATCAATACTCGTCAAGGCATGGTGACAGACAGTTTGTGAGCTGACAAACAATTAATATACTAAAAATACACACTTAGTCATTGTGCTTTGGAGTTTATTCAAAATTATAAATGAATGTGCTACCTGAATAGATTACTGGCACATTTGGTATTCTGTCAGCTCAGGCTTTGATCCTGGGTTTAGGTGTAACATCAGTAGCGAACAGCCAAACACATGCTGATAGATTTTATAGAATATTAAGAATTTAAAGAAATGTACACAGGAAGATTCGTCGTCTTTTGGGAGGTGATGGAAACTATCGTTACAGTCGTTGGCAGGATCACTCTGATTTAGTTTTCGGCTTATGTTCAAAACAATCACTTTTAAGCCACTGAATTAGTTTAGTCCGGTTATACATACAACCGCGAACAGCACATGTTGTCCCTGAGCTCCGTAACGACATCTCTCATAAAGATTTGCGCCTTTAAATAGTAAAATAATTCTCCGAAAAACAGCTAGCCTCTTCGCTAACTAACACACAAAATACCATTGGAATGCTACTTCCGCCGCCTTACCGGAAGTTTCACCCACTTTATTTTTTTCAGGAGCGCCCCTTTGGAAACTTGTGGATACAATTGTTCATCATCTCCACTACACTACAATTAGGAAAAAGAGGCTTTAATTTGCAAGAGCTCACCAAAATTGAACAGTTGAAGACTGGAAAAATGTTGCCTGGTCTGATGAGTCTTGATTTATGATGGTAGAGTCAGAATTTGGCATAAACAGAATGAGAACATGGATCCATCATGCATTGTTACTACTGTGCAGGCTGGTGGTGGTGGCGTAATGGTGTGGAGGATGTTTTCATGGCACAATTTAGGCCCCTTAGTGCATCGTTTAAATGCCACAGCCAACCTAAGCATTGTTTCTGACCATGTCCACCCCTTTATGGCCACCATGTAACCATCCTCTGATGGCTACTCCATGTCAAAAAGCTCGAATCATTTCAAATTGGTTTCTTGAACCATGATAATGAGTTCACTGTACTAAAATGGCCCCCAGTCACCAGATCTGGTGGAATGGGAGCTTTGTGCCCTGGATGTGCATCCCACAAATCTCCATCAGCTGCAAGATGGTATCCTATCAATATGGGTCAACATTTCTAAAGAATGCTTTCTTTCAGCACCTTGTTGAATCAATGGCACGTAGAATTAAGGCAGTTCTGAAGGTCTGAAGGTGAAAGGGGGTCAAACACAGTATTAGTATGGTGTTCCTAATAATCCCTTAGATGAGTGTATATATATATATATATTTGCAAATTCCAATAAATATCAAATGAAGAAGAAAAAATATTAGAAGCTTGTTTTGGTTGTCACTTAAGGTGTTTTCCAAATTTTGAAAGCTGATTGTGAAACTCCTGAATGTATTTGTTCCATGCACTTCCTTTTAATTTCATGGAAATGTGGTATGTCTTACGGTGTAAAAATAAGACATGCTCCACCTGGTGGAGAACATAGAAAGTACAAAAACAAACAATGAATCTACACAGTCCAAAAAGACTCAGCAAGAGACAAGACATTTTATTTTCAACAGTTTTAAATTTAAATTGTGGTCTCAGACCTTTGGATCCCACTGTACAATTGAGCACAAATACAAAAGACAAATAGCACAAATACAAACAGCATATGTAACCTAAATATATATGTAACCTAAAACTCCCATTAATGCCAGTGAGGAGGATAACAGTAATGAATGATGGACTCACCCCTGTAAGATCTCGGTCTCCGGCTCTCTGGCTGGCTGAACCATCTCCTGCTTTAGCTCTGAGATCTCCGAGGAGAATGTGTCAATCAGCTGTAGTCACACACAAGCACACCATATGAGCATGAAGAGCAGATAATCTAAAGACATTCTGAATATGTGCTCATGTGTCAAGCATGTTTTCTATGAATGGGAAGTGTCTGTGTCTGGAATTAGTCATCATGAAATGATGACGTTTCCTTTCAACAACTAACAGTGAGAACAATCCAGAAACAGAGACAACAAAGAACTGGGCAGTTCATTTTCCTTTCATTATTTCGGTTACACTTTATTTTAAGGTGTCATTGTTACAGTGTAATTATATATACTATACTTACTGTAGGGTTAGGGTAGGATTAGGATTTGGTCGAGGGTTAGTTGCATGTATTACTATACTAAGCACATGGAACTATGTATGTAACAAGGACACTGTAATATAAAGGTTACCCATTATTCTAAAATGAAGCACTAAACAGCATTCACTGTAAATAAAATAAACAATATTGAAAGAAACATGTATTATGTGTGGTATAAGGCAAGGTGATCTCTACCTAACTGCTTTGATCAGACATGAAGCACGGTGACTTTAGGTCAGTAAGAGTACAGTAAGTGCACTTGGAACAGCTATTTTGTCATTGTATTTTTTCATAGATCTGAGTTACTCTTGATGGCCAGCAGGGGGCAGCCAGTTATTTTTTTTCTCTCTCCTTTTTTATTTTTTTCATTTCTTAAACTTCTTTTAGCCTGCACAAATTCCCATTAACACTAAAACTCATACGTGTGAGGAGACAGTCAAGATTTCAGTAAACCCTTGACCATATACCAGACAAAGACCCGTCCACACTTTCAATCTACTTTTTTTTTTATCTGAGCCAGCATTTTCCGCTTATAGTCATGAGATATTTCTCAAACTTCATCTCAGACTTAGTCAGCAAACCACAACTACATACCAACCAGCTCACAGCCAAGAAAAGCACTCCGCAAAGATGTAAAATGTACTTTAGTGATACCAAAGCGTTTACTTGCTGTGCTGAATGGGCTACACACTAGAAAGGTCAAGAATTACCAAACCAACATAAATGGGCTCACTAAAATGGCTTGATATGGCTTATTATCTGAGTCAGACAAGAAATACAGCCGAAAACAAAGCTTGTTATCTTGAAAACACTCAGAAACAGGCATGCATGAGTTTATACACACTTGTCACCATGGCCTAATCAGCAGAGTATTTACTAATGTAAAGACTAACACTTGCTTTGATTTTTGTCTTCAAAGATATTCTACAGTAGACAACAATCATTGTTATTTCAAATACATGCTGTTTTTTTTTTTACTTTCTATTTATCAAAATAGAATAATAATATAAAAAGAGTAAAAAAAGAGTGGTTTCCTGCTAAGGAATTTCCCCAGTCATACGGTATATCAATGAGATTGTGCAATACTAATGAGCAGCAATGAGAGAGAAAAACATAAGATACGTTTTCAAAAGATTTACAAGAACACAGAAAATTCCTCTGAGCTAATGTCAGCCAGAAGGAAGACAATAGGACCACCTATCATTTACACTTAATAGAGCAAACAGACACAATCCTGCTGAGATGGAGAGAGACAGAGAGTAAGAGAGATCTCATGTAAAAAATATTCAGCTTGTGTTGATAAATTCACCCAGAAGCAGAGAATGACTTTAGCTGTACTGATGAGCCATTAAAAGAGGTGATGAAGCAGAAGAAAAGGTGCAGTTTCACCCGCTGGACATTTGTTAGGAAACTCTGATGCCTGTGAGGTGCTGGCTGGTGTTCTGGAGGCTGGTGAGATCAAGAGCTCTTCAAAATGCTGCAGTCATCTGTGCCTCTATTTAATAAGCCGTGAGGTAAAGTCATTCATAGCATACAAAGCAGCCAAGAAAGTCTCTAGGAAACTATGTGCTGACATTTTACTAGCACGCTTGTTTCAGCCAAACACAGTCCTAACACTGAAAGGAGTGTTCGAAATATAAACACTCAGTGACAGCAGCAGAGTCATTCAATTAAAGGGACTGTTCGCTCAAAAATGAACATTCAGTGATCCTTTACTCACCCTCACATCATTCCAACATGTTTATTCTATGAAACACAAAATTTTAAATTCTGAAGAACATCTTGGCCATTTTTTTCCCCATGAAAAACTAAAGTTAATTATATCATATAGCAGTGGTTGTTAAAGGGGGGTGGGGGGTGAAACACGAAGTTTCAGTCAATCTTGTGCTATTGTGGATCCCACACTTATTGGTTATTGGCCATAACATAAAAGTAATTATTGATTTATTAGTATCTGCCAGAATTTTGATATTGTTCTTTAACATCACAAAAGTACTCAATATACGTCTTTTGCCGTATGACAGTATTCAATGATATATTTTATTAATAAAAGGGCATACACTAAAAAAAATTTACCTTCTGTGCTTCAAGAATGCAAGAAAGTCATACACATTTGGAACGACATAAGAGTGAGTAATTAATGACAGAATTCCTTTTTGTTGACGTCGTTGAACTATTCCTTTAATAGATGATGAAGGTACTGTAAAATTCAATCGCTCACCACATTCCACTTAAGTATCATCTAAATTGATGACAGAGAAGCGATGTTACAGGAGAGTTTTCTGTTAAGGAAACAAGGAGGAATATAAATTTGTGTTCACTGACGTTCATAATCTTGTCAGGCCTGATTTATTTACCTTTGGCTGCATCTAATTGTTAACATGAAACAAAGCTTGCAACTGCATCTACAACTTCCTCCTGCATGAAATGATCACAACACATGCTGGAGGATAAGTAAGATCACCCTGAAACAATTACATAAACAAATCACACAAAAAAAGGCTTTATGTCTGTAGGAAGAATAGCTTGCAGAGATAACAGCTGGATCTATCATCCTCTGAGAACCTCTTAAGCTCGGCAGCTTTAGTGCTGGCAAAGAGGACGGACAGCATTCCACGTGGTCTCCAGAGGCCCTGACTAACCTGAGCTCTGTCTGGTTCTAAAGTAGGACACTTACAGAAAGCAAACTTATCCCCAGTGATGGTGGTTTTCAGTGTGTCATTTATTGCTGGTTGACACATTACTGTGGAAGATGTAAACAATAGTGCTGTTCAGTCATGACGTTTACATTTGTAGACCATGTGGTCACATACAGTATGACTTTCGTCTGTGGAACATAAAAACATATTTGAAAAATCTATATTTTTTGTCCGTACAATAAAATTCAGTGGGGTCCAAAACAACATTATTTCAGACCCCATTAACTTTGATGGTGTGGACAAAAATTGTTTTGTACCAAAAGTCATGCAACCTCCAATAGTTTTTATATAGCTATAATACCAAAGACCAGTTGCATTGCATTAACACAACCACTATGTTAAGACTGTTTCTTAAGAACTAGACTTACCAACCACCAGTTGGTTAAATATATATATATATATATATATATATATAGACCATTTCACAAGATGTAAACAACACTGGTCCAGAAGCACTTCCTGTTTCAGTTTTTTAACACTACATAAAAGCTGGGATAAAATACAACCAACAGAACATTTAAAACTGAATCAAAAAGTTAAACAAACATCTTTAAGATGTTTTCTTTACATGTGAAATAAAGAAAACAGTTACAACTTGAAACAGGAAGTGCTTCTGGACACACACACACAATCATACTAGACCGAGCTAAATTACTTCAAAAGTTATGACTAGTCTTTAAGAAAAAAACTTATAAGACCAGTAAGTAGTTTATGCAACAGGCCACAGTTGTAAACTGGGTCTAAATGACAAAAAAAGTTTTTTTAATAAAGGGAGGCTTCAGTTAGAGAAACTCATCTAAAAATAAAACACAGTACATGTAAATTCATATCCAAAACATGCAGGCAGGCAAACACAGACAAACAAGGCAAAGGTCAAGGGACAGTGGGGATGTGTGTGTCTCTCTCCTCACCTTAAAAAAGCTGCTGCTCCGGTCCATGAGGCAGGACTGCATCATCATCTCTGCAGACATGATTTGGTGTATGCAGCTCTTCTGTGTCGGGCTGGGTTTCTGTGGATCACAGACACACATCCTTTATTTTGAAGTCCAGAAATAGGAAATCGCAACCCATTCCACATGGATAGGCCAGAGAAACGAGCATGCAAGACTTGTAGAGCAGGAGACTGGCATACTCTAAACTTCACCGAAAGCCTTTTTTCCTTGCACCTCATTTCCTGCTTTGTGGATTAACCAAAACTACACCCTTCACACAAACTTTAACACTGTTTTATACATTCACAAGCTCAAACACATCTTGTCCTAGATTTCGTATAATAAGAAGAATGTGCAGTTTATAATTGCTACAGCTAGGGCTGTCAATTCAACACATTATTTTAGTACTATTAATAATAAGATAAAGTAAACAATTATAAATAATCAGATAAATACATTTATAGGATTCTGAAGTATATTTTCAAGTAATGAATTGATCAATTAATAACCTTAGCTATATGAAATTGCACTATTTGCATATAGAGATCATAGAATTATTGTGAAGCTGCATTCCCACTACAAGCAACAAAGCAACACGATCCCATTCATTTCAATGAAGAGTGGGTGATTTCCAACAACTCGAGCGATAGCGACCGTTGGCGACTGGATGGGGCGTGTCCAGCAACTTTCGGGAGATACAACCAATAGAAGGTAAGTCAGTGGAGCGCAGTGATCCGTCACTCTTCAGTGCAGAGGGTCAAAAAGTAGCTCATTTTAGAAATCAGCAACTGTCCTATAATTTATGATATGTCTCCTTGTACATACTGTGGTATTCGCTGTGCTGACTCTGAGGTTGAATGGTTTTGTGATCCCAGATAGACCGGCATTTGCCCTTTTGCTTCAGATAAATAGCCTTGATGGCAAAGAGCACTCGCTGTTTCTCATTCATCCTTATTATTAGGCATTTATTGTACTGATTACATTTATATTTAGACTTTCCCTTCCAAAATGTTTGTAGCAGCACAAAAAACAACATGGAGTAACATCTGTGAATGTCATTCGAACGTTACTAGGCAACCAACCTGTAGTAGGAACACACACTAACTACTTCACCACTAGCCACTGGCGACATGTTGCCACAAAGTCGTTGGTAGCGTGAATGCAGCATTAGTGAAATCAGAGATGTCAGTCTGAGTTTAAATCTTTTGTTCACAGACTTTTCTAAAGAACTTTTCAAAACAGCTTCTGGCAAAATACAGGGAGAGGGATCAGCTGGGGGACTGGAGGAGACAAAACCAGGGCAAAGGTCAAGCCATGAGAAAGGGTGGTGGAAGAGTGCAGGAGGAGGAACATAAAGCTTATGTACTTTATCAGCTGTAAATGCATGACTCAGCACGTAAGCGGCAAAACTAGCTCCATGTTCAAAAATAAAACCCCTTGAATGTAGTGACTCACTGAAAATTACTCTTCACAAGGCCAACATAATGTAGAGTCGGGGTCAAAAGTTTGGAAACAATTTAGTCATCCTGTAGAATCTGAAATATAAGTTATTTCATCCTCCTCCTTAAAGATATGGTAAGCGGTAAGTTTATTTGTGTGTGTGCACATAAATTAATTGTACTCAACAAGACTGCCTTAACTTGATCAAAAGTGACCGTAAAGATTTTTACCTCGTAACTGAAGATTTTCATTTCAAATAGAAGAACTTTCTATTCATCAAAGAATCATGATAGGCCTATATCAGTTTCCACAAAAAAATAGTAAGCAGCTATGAAATGTTATTTGAAGACCAAACAGCACATTAGAATGATTTCTGAAGGATCATGTGACACTGAAGACTGGAGTGATGCTGAAACATCAGCTTTGCCTTTACAGGAATAAATAACAATTTTAAGCTATTAGGCTAAATAACACATAAAATGTTTTTTTTTTTTTACATGTTATAATATCATAGTTTTACAGTGTTTTTTTAATCAAACAAATGCAGCCTTGCCTTGGTGAGCATAAAATACTTCTTTCAAAAACATTAAATGAATATTTTACAGAACTTTAGAAAAAAAAAATATATTCATAAAGTGGAGAGAAATATCACTGGTTAAAAATCCTGTTTTCCCCTGGTCGTTACAGTTAGTGTTAAAATTAAACCAAGCCTTTTGTAACTGTAACAGTCTCAATTGTAATTGACCAAACTGTCGTTCATCAGAATGGAAAGTTCCTGAATACTTATGGAACATGAATGGTCATACATTAACAAGCCATTTTATAGTTTATTTTCTATGATTGTGCTTGAGTGACTATAGAGGAAGCTTTTTATATTATACTGCATAGAACATAAAATTCTTTGACTTCAAAACATTTATAAAGTCTTTAATATTCAATTTAATGCAAAAGTAAGTTCCATGAATACACCCTCCGTCCTCCCAGAGAAGCGAAAACAATACAACCATTAAAAACAGCCCCACTGCTTCTGCAGGTCACTTCGTTCCCGAGGAATGAGCGTCTCCCTACTGCAGCATAAGATTGTCATCAGCTAAAGCAAGAGCCAGCGCTGACCCACTTCCAGATGCTGAAGATACCCAACACTCAGAAATGCTTTGATCCAGCACAGCTGTCTGAGTTATGCACAACAGCCTTTTCCTTCACAGACAGCACAGTCTTGCTTGCACAGTGTCAACCTGACTCCACTCTTACTGTCGACAAAGAAAACACAAAGCCTTCTTTTTTTGCTGGATGAATTTATGTTGAGCTAACACAAAGCTGCTGTCTGGGTGCTGACACTGAAGGGAAAATTGTGGCAAACATGTGGAGCTCAGCTCACAAAGCCTTTGATGTGACCATCAAGAAGATTTGAAAAGAAGCTGCATCTCCTCCCAAACCTTTGCTTTCTTCTACACATATTACTATGGACTCTTGTGTCCTCCAGAACCAATTGTCAGACTCAGCAGTGTTTATAAGTTCAGACTCTAGCACAATTCAGTACAAAACTAAACACTGGAAGATAAGTCTGATAAGTTCCAAGTATTTCCTGTGAAGTGTTGCTCCACGTGTTGACAGATATGGATTGACTTTGACATGTTAATCTACTCCTCTCTGTAAAGAGGCTTCACCTAATGTCATTGCTGTAATGAGCCATCAAAACACACATTCATCTTTCCTCAGCAGGGCTCAGCAATAAAAACAAATTCTGCTTGCGCTGCCAACATTATGTAGTCACTGTCCACATATGAACATTTTCTGGAAAACAATGTCATATATGATACAAAACAAGTGGCATCATCTGGATTGAAACTCTCTCAATTGTCGTATGAATTCAAGAAAGCCCTTTTTGAGTCCTGCTCAGTATGTCAACCAGAGAAAGCTGTTATTTACCTTGCATCATCCCGTTTCTGTGCCTGTATCTGTTTTTGAAAGACTCAACAAGACACACGCACATACGACTCGGCGAGTAAACAGGAAACCCCTCGGACTGCCAGCACGGGCAGAATAAACACAGGCAAAGTTATTAACTGGCACTGTGGAGCACAGACATGCAGAGAGAGAGAGAGAGAGTCCAGCTCAATTGGTCATTTATCTCCCTCACCCACTGTCATCTCAATAGAGATGTCACGGCACTGGGATACACAGAAAATTACAGTTGAAAGAAACAGCCTTTGTTAGTGCATCTAAAATGTCAACAACTGCAAACAACACTAGACTAAAGGCTAACTTTATCCTGTTTCCAACCAAACAGGGTCATTTGCTATTGTGCTGGGCGGCTTATACAATTGTACAAAAAGTGTGTGTGTGCTGTAGTGCTGGGTAGATTAATTATAAATTGTAGTCCATCATTGAATACAAATTACATAATACAAATTTGTTGTTAGTTAAGCTGAAGTCTGTAGCTTTTTGGGTTAAAAAATTATCCAAAATATATACTTGATAAAATACATATCCAGCCAGAGTTGAAAAATATTTGCTTGCCTTAGCTCGATTCAAAGCGGTAAGTTTGCAATAATATATTTAATTCCAGTTGTACTGGTGGATTTCCGCGGGAGATTCGAGCAAAAATTATTATGTTGGTCTTACTTCCAAAAAGAACAATCTGTGATTCTGAATGCAAGTATCCACCTCGGTGCAGTGACTGACAGCTAAACACTCTCCTCAAACATTGTGTTCATCCACGCTGTGCCGTGTCGAGGGTGTTGAACTACAACTCGCGTAAAGTTGAAAATTCCGCAAATGACTGCTATTGCAGGTTTCGAACAGAGATGGCGACAAGGAGAAAAAAGGAAAGAGTCTGTGTGTGCAATTCCACAAAACATTTTAGGAAGAAAATAAGACCAACAAATTCAGAATAATTTACTGCCATTTTGTGAATATTAAGTAATCATGTAATCAATAAAAAAGTAACTATTATTATTACCAGTATATTATTTTTGGAATCTGATTACGTATGTCTTATTTTGCACCACTAGGGCCGTAACTATAGATGTTGAATACAATAGATTACTAATATAAAAATAAATGTTTGTATTTAAAAAAAAAATATATATATATATATGTATTCCAAAATATATTTCCAAACTGTTTAAATGTATTACTTGACAACAACAGTTCGTATTTGTTTTTCTTTATTTCCTTAAATCCCTTTTAATCCCTTTTAATCCTTATAGTATTTAATTCCTTAATGTGTGTGTTGAAGTAGGAGTCTGCTCAGCTGGGCTGTTTGGACCCACACAAAGGCACATCTGAACTACGAGGCACAGAGCGTCTCTGTGTCCTGCACATTTAACAGGTGCGCGGTAGTAGAGAGGATTTTCTGTAGTCTGGCGAGACCTGGCAGGGCCTGACAGGAAATGGAGCTCGCAAGCAATTAAGGGGGCTGAGATATTAACAAAGAGAACAAATAGAACAAAAATGTGAGCAAGACAACTCTGTTATTCTCTGATATGATATTTTTGGTATTCTTATCTGGGCTGATGTAAACAGGAACTTAATATTTTAGAGCTTGACATGTCATGTCACATGCCTCAGATTTGATTGACAGCCTTGGAACATTG